GAGAGAGAGAGAGAGAGAGAGAGAGAGAGAGAGAGAGGAGGGGGAGGCAGAGACAGAAGGACAGAGACAGACAGAGGCACAGAGGGACATACAGAGAGAAACAGGCAGAGAGAAACAGAGACAAAGGGAGAGGAGAGGGGGAGACACACACACACACACACACAGAGAGAGAGAGAGAGAGAGAGAGAGAGAGAGAGAGAGAGAGAGAGAGAGAAGAAAGAATAGCTGGGATTCCTTGCAGTATACTCAGTATACTATTAAGAAAAGAAGGAAGAAAGAATAGTGCTTCATTCCGCCAGTTAGCTCATTGTGTGATTCTGGTATGCCCTCGTTCTCTCTCAAGTCTAGACTCTCATCTCATCTGTATGTAAGGAAAACGAGCAGCTGAACCAAGAGGATCACGGAGAATCACATCACTTTCAAGTCTCCATGGCAGAACAGGAGACCATCCTCAAGATCAGCAGGAACCTGAAAAGTGAGTGTGCCCTATGAGATCTTTCTGGAGCTGAGTTGCAGGAGACAGGAAGGGTCTGGAGAGCATCTCCCTCACAGGCCTGGCTCCCTGACATCTGCTCTCTACCATCCTCCTCACAGATGCCGTCTCTGCCATCCTCCAGGGATACGGGGATGGGCAGGGGCCAGTAACAGATGCCAGCGCTGAGCTACACAGACTCTGTGGCTGCCTGGAGCTGCTACTGCAGGTGGGACCCTCCACCTTCCTTCTCCACCCCTGCTGATTCCTTAGCTTTCAGTACTCTGGAAAGCTTTCCCAGAAGCTAGGACTGATCCTCATTCTTTCCTTATTTTTATCTCCTGGGGTACTACATAAATATACCTCTTCTTCCTCCCCTGACTTCTTGACAGCGAGCTGCACGTCTTACCACAGTCTCCACCTCCCATAGCACCCCAGGATTGCACGTGTCTCGGGGCCTTTATCTCTACATTGCCTCTATCTGGAATGCTATTCCCTAGATATTTACATGACATCAGTGCACATGGCCCTCAAGTCTGGAGGCTTCCTCGGGCGAAAATTTGAGACATTCTCTCCCTCCCTCCCTCTCTTCTCTTCTCTCTCTCTCTTTTTTTTTCCTCCACAGCCGCCATCACTATCTAACACACTGTATGCTTTGAGAACTTAACTTCATCATTCTCTGACTTCCCTACCAAGACGTATGCTGTCTGAGGTTGGTTCGTGCAGGCCTTGTTCATTGTTCACAGGCCTCAGATCAGGGCCTGCACATACCAAACTGCACAGTGTTTGTGAATGAATGAGTGTGAATTCAGGCTCAGAGAGATCAAGTATCTTGTTCCTATCACACAGCCAGGAAGGGCAGAGGAAGATCCCCCCCAACAAAAAGGCCTGTCTATAAGAGCCCTATCTTCTCCCATGTGCTTTCCCAGCATGCCAGGGTGCTAGGTAGGTTCCAGAAGGAGCTGCTGACGTATGTTCCTTTCTTTCATCTTGGTCCTAGTTTGAGCAGAGGGAGCAGAGGAGCTTCCTGGGGGCTCGGAAGGATTACTGGGACTTCCTGTTCACTGCCCTTCGACGGCAGCGGGGATACACAGAGCAAATGAGCTTCATATGCTCACAGGACAAGGTAATGGGAGCAGGGGGTGGGAAATCGGATGGACTTTGACCAGGCCTTCCCTAGGGCCCTTGTCACTCAGACGTGCTCCACTAACAGGAGGCCGTTCCCGAGAGGTGAGGGCCTCTCATTAGCCCTGGTTTCTCCTCCAGCCACACATTTCTCCTCCGACCTTGGCCCACTCTTCCTCCCTCACTCTTGTTCCCTCTGCTCTCTGTCTCTGTCTCTGTCTCTCTGTCTGTCTGTCTGTCTGTCTGTCTCTCTCTCTCTCTCACACACACACACACACACACACACACACTTGGTTGACCCAGCTCCCCACCCCAATTTCACCCTCTCTTTGGCCCTCCCCACACCCTGCAGCTGAAGACCTCGCTAGGAAAAGGCCGGGCCTTTATCCGCCTCTGCCTTGCTCATGGCCAGCTGGCTGAGTCGATGCAGCTGTGCCTCCTGAACCCGCAACTCACCAGGTGGGTTTGCCAGGCCATCGTCCCATATACGGTACTTGAACCCACTACTGCTAAATGGATGACTGACCATTTGAGATAAGGGAATGAGTGTCAGCAAGGAGAAAGGGCCTAAGAGTCCTGCATGTCGTTTGGTGTACTTGGGCCTCTGCCCTTTGAGTCTGAGCTCAGCCACAACCTACCTAGAAAGGTCCCCTGTGGTACACTGATTCTCAGAGGTTATGGGTAGCAATGGCCGCATGTGTTGGTCCCTCTTCACACAGGGAATGGTATGGCCCTCGGAGCCCTCTGTTGTGCCCCGAGCTCCAGGAAGACATCTTGGACTCTCTCTATGCCCTCAATGGAATTGCCTTCAACCTGGACCTGCAGCGGCCAGACCTGGATGAAGCCTGGCCCATGTTCTCAGAGTGAGCAGGCTTTCAGCCTCCAGCACAAACCACTCTTCCCTCCCCCTTTTTAAGTTACCTTTGCGAGGTTATACTATAATTACGTTGTTTCCCCTTCCCCTTTCTACCTCTTCCTTGATCTCCAAATTCATGAGCTCTTTTTTCATTAATTGTTGAGATACACACACACACACACACACACAAATACAACCTACTCAGTCTGTATAATGTTACTTGTATGGATGTTTTCATGGCTGACCATTGGCATTAGTGCACTCCTCCCTGGGGAAGACTGTTTCTCCCGCTCACACCATTCCTTAGTTCCCTATAGTTCTTTCTGTAGGGTTGGGAACTCCCTGATCCTTGGCTCACTTTTCAACCCCCTCTTCTGCAATGATCCCTGAGACTCACATGTAGTCATATTGTCTATGTATTAGTTGGGACAGGGCTCCAAAGCTCTGCGTTTTGATTGGCTGTGATTTTCTATAATGGTCTCCATCTGTAGCAAAGATAACTTTCCTTAGTGAGGGGGTAAGATAAACTGATCTGTGGCTATACGGACAAATATTTAGGATGTAGTTAGGGATTATGCTGGTTCAGTAAAGTAGTAGTTGTAGGATTTTCTCCAAGATCCATGACATCACCGAACACTAGGTAGTAGCCTAGGTTTCCAGCACCAGGCATGGCTTCCCTCTTGTTGAGCAGGCCTGAAGTCCAACTAGAAAGCTGTTGGCTACCGCCAAGGTATATGTAGCACTATATACCAGTAGGGTTACCATGACATGTTAGTTCCTGTGGTTCACAGGTGTCATAACTGGGTAGAAATGTTGGTTGCTTCCGCACCTTGGAAGCCTGCCTCTCCCTCCTTCTTGATCCCCACTCTCCAGCCTTCCCTTTCCTCAGTATCATCTGAAACTAGGCCAGGCTGCTAAAGACTAATTGGTCAGAGTAGAGAGTGAGAGGGATGGATAGATGATACGGTGCTGGGATGCAATGGACGTAAAGATGAAGCATAGGGTAGACGGCTAAATGGTGAACGGGGAGCACTCAGGGCAGAGGTGAAAAACAGGAAGTGTATTAGTATGAGTGGGTGGCTCAAAAACTGGAGCAACCTCCACTAGAAGACCAGGCCAACTAAAGCCCCAGATGTCCTGCCTCTTGGTTTCAGATCCCGCTGTTCCAGTCCCAGTCGGACCTGGGAAAGAAGACCCAGAAAACTCAAAGGTTTTCCAGAGGAGGTACCTCTGTCTGCCTTAACCTGACTTGCTTCTTGAACATCTATTGGAACTCCCAAGTTGATCAGGGCCTCCTGTGGGTGTGCAGAGAGCTCCGTCCCTCTCCTGTGGAGACAGAGGCAGAAGCAGTGTGTGAAGCAGCAGGGAGGGGGTGAGCAGTCTTGCTCCTGGGGAAGCACAATAAGGAGGACAGGAGAGCACTGGTGCCATCTGTAGGAGCCATGGAGCTCTCAGGAGGAGAGGCCAATTGAGATGGTTGGAGGCTTGCAGGAAACACACCAAGGAGCACTCATCTACTGAAACCCTGAACTAGGTATTCAAATTGGCCTATATCAGTTAAAGGAGTGACTAAAGTGCTTGAGTTCCCAATTAATTCACAGCCCAGCTCTGACCTGTTCTAAACACAGGCCCTTGGGCAGGTTCCTGCCCTGCCTCCTAGGGGAGTTGTGTAGATGGCTTGAGACAACCTGAATGCCTCTAAGCACAAGGCTCCTGGCTCCTGCGCCATTCTGATGTGGCAGCTTAAGGTTGTCATCATTCTACAAGCTTCCAGATACCAGAGAGAGCATCATTAGGGACTCAGTCTCAGACCTTGAAAGAGTTCAAGGCCTGTTCATGGAGACAGATCAGGAACACATTGCAATCTATGCTACGTGTGCAGTTAGCCACCCACATCTGTGGTTTCTGCATCCGTAGACTCAACTAACCACACATACAAAATATTTAGAAAAGAATTATTGTGTTGGTTCTGAACAGTGAGCATTCTCTTACCCTCAGTGTTCCCTAAACAAGGCAGTATAATAACTACTTGCAAAGTATTGACACTGTGTGGGATACTAAAGCCATCTACAAAGGACTTAAGCGTACTGGAGGATGTGCGTTGGTTATACGCAAGTCCTACACCACACTATAGAAGAGTCTCTAGTATCCAAGCTTTTAAGCACCCCCTTGAGGTCCTGAAGACAACTCCCCTGGTATCAACGGAGGCCATAGACATGGCCAAGAGAAAACAGGAGCACAGAGAAGACTCCCCTGTCCCTGCGGTGTTGAGGATCAAACCCAGGGCCATACATACTAGACAAGTGCTCTACCACTGAACATTAGTCTGTTTAAGATTCCATCACCGTTTTACAAACCCAGAATTCTTGTTTCCTTTTTATAGATGAGAATGCAGAGAGACAAAATCAAGTACAGGAGAAAAGGTGAAAGGAGAAGGTAGAGGAATTCAGGGGGGAACGAGATCAACCCAGGTGAAAGAGGGAGCTGCCACTGGCTGTAGGCATGCAGAGGAGCTGAGCTACCTGCTGTTCTCAGCTCAGATTTGTGGGTGCTATAGAGCGCTGGCTAAGATTATCTCTGCTCTGACAGCTTTCCCAGGAGGAGGTGTTCAAATCCAATAAGAAGCAAACATACTGTCCCAGGGCTTTATCCTTTCCTGTGTCCCAGATCAATGACCAAATGCTGAAATGGGATTCTCTACAGGTGAGATGCTCCAGGGGAAAACAGCTGCAGGAACCGGACACTGGAGGAACCAGCTGTCTGCAAGATGCAACCAGAGAAGACAGCCCACCTGACCTCCCTATCCCATTGCAACATAGCCATCTTCCCACCTTTCTGGAAGAGAAGAGGGAGGATTCCAGAAGCCTCAGTTGTACCCAGAGCATTTGGGAAACAGAAAAGAAAGGATTTCAGCTAGACCAGAAGGAGGGAGGCCCAAAGACCAGGAAATTCCTGGAAAACTCAACAGCCAGCATCCAGCAACAGGGGGGCAGAGCTAAGAACGTTCAAATGCAGCTGACAGGAAGGAAAGATGAAGGACAGGGAAGTCTTCCAGGGACAGAAGTTTGGAGAACAACAGAAAGGATCCAGAAAAGGGCAGCAGATTGGGCCCATGACCAGGGGCTGCTGGCCTCCACCCTTCAGGGAAGGGAAGAAGATGCAGAGTTAGGGAACAGACATGGGTGGGATCAGCCAGGTGTTCCCGGGCAATCCTGGGTCCTGGGAACAAAGAAAGGTTCCACCCCAGAGAAGCCACAAGAGTGGACAAGAGTGATCAATGTAACCATGCAGGAAGATGGAGAAGAAGTGTCCTTGCAGCAGGAGGTGAACAAGGTACCTGTCTGTTATAGACTCCTCTCTAGCCTGGTCTGCAGCTGGGGATCTACAGAGGTAGCCTGTGGCCAGCCCAGCCCACAGATCAGTGTAAGTGTAGCTTGTGAAAAGACCTTCTGTAACCCAAGCTGACCTCGAATTTGCTATGTAGCCAAGCTGTCTCTGAATTCCTAATCCTCCTGCCTCTAAGCCCCAGATCCTGAGATTATTGGTGTACGGCATCACACAGAGTTCTGAAAACCAATTTTGGCTTGCCCTCTCAGAGCTACTATTTGGGGATACTCTTTGAAGTCACACAGTCTTCCGCTCACAGAGCGCCCCTTCCAGTGATTGCTTCCTGTGAGGCCTGCTTCATTCATCAGTACTTTTTTGCCCAGCCATGCCAACATTTGAGTTAGGGAGCACATCCCAGCAAGTGACTTTTGAGAAGTCACAGAGTTCAGGTTCCCTCACCACAGCAGAGCTCTCCCAGTGTCCAAGCTCTGTTGCCATACCTTCAGCTAGTTTTGACACACTTTTCCCAGAAGTCCCCTAGAGATGGCTCCCAAGATATCCCTCCGCCTCCTTCCTAGCCAGAATCTTCCAGGTCCATGAACTTGGCAATTTCCGGAAGAGAATAAATGGTATCCCCAGCCTCACTCAGTTCCCAGAAGCATGGCAATAGCCTTATATAAAAGTTCATTGGATGAACCCAGGGCTGGGGTTTCTGCCTTCCTCTTTCAACTCTTCCTTCCCCATTTTCTCCTCAGGACCTCAGGTATGGGCTCCAGCTGGCAGAGGAACAGGCCCAGTGCCAGGAGCAGCTGCGAGCACAGGAAGAACTGCAGGTGCTCCAGGAACAGCTCAGCAGGTAATCTTGGCAACACAAGCAAAGGCCTAGGCTCCAGGACTCCTGAGTTCTCAGTGTACACAGTTTGTGCTGGGCACAACTCCAGGAAACTGAGGCCAGTGCCATCCTAAGCATCTTTCCTGGTCCCATGAGGCTCACAGTTCCTCTCCTCCCCAATCCCTACCCCGGGACCCCATGAGATATCCCTGTTCCTTGTTCTGCTTGACCTAGATCCCTGCTGCCCCTTCTGGGCACACTGCTGCCTTTTTAATCTACTCTGACTCCAGCATGCTTCCAAATCTACCTCCCCCATGCAGCCTTTAAATATAGGATTTCACTCTGTAGACCAGGTTGTCCTAGAACTTATGACAATTCTCCTGCCTCAGCCTCCTGGGTGCTGGGATTATAGTCATAAACCACTATGCCTGGCATTGTTCCTCATTTTTTATTCCTTGTTATACAACCCTTTCAATCTCTTTGGAGCCTCCTGATAACCATAACAGTGCCTGTCATTCACCCAAAATTTACTTAGTCCTGAGCACTACACACAGTTCACCCAATGTCAACCTGTTAGCAGAGAGGACCTGAGAGCCAGGCCCTGCAACGGACTCTGCAACAGTGAGCTCTCTTGTTCTTTTGAGTCGTTTATTATTTAGTCTTCTTATGGGAGTTCAAACTGATCTTCGGTCTGCAATCCTTTGTCTCAGTCTCTCAGTGCTGAGACTGCAGGCCTGTCCCACCAAGCCTGACTTCCTCAGCTAACTTTGTAGCTTAGGCTATCCCAAAACTTTTCTTATAACAGAGGACAGCCTTGAGTGTCTGATCCTCCTGGTATGTACCTCTGCGCCCAGTTTATATGGTACTAGGGATCAAACTGAGGCATTGTACCTGCTAGGCAAGCACTCTGCCTCCAAAGCTATATCCCCAGTCCAGGATTTTGTTTTTTGTTTTTTGTTTTGTTTTTTTTTAACACAGTCTTCTCTATCAGCAGGAGGTTAATTACTGGAGCCCAAGTGAAACCAAATCCCCTGGCTACTCAAGTGTATTGCATAAAGATAGTTCAGGGTCTTCACAGGACCAAAGCATACCCTCCCTGGTCCTATATGAACCCCCCTAGCTTGATTTAAATGCTGTGAAAACAGTTGTACTACTACATAGTATAAGGAACTATGAGAAGAAAAAAACATCTGGATGTATTCAAGAGTGCAGTGTAGGTTGTTTGTTTGTTTTTGTTTCCCAGATGCTTTTGGTTTGTGGTTGGTTAAAACTGGAGACACAGATACAGAGAGCTGATCATATTCCATTCTCCCTGTCTCTTTCTACCAAGTAGCTCCAAATAGCTTCTTTGCCTTGACCTCAAGGGCCTAAAGGCATTATCTGTCACAGCCCTTCCTGTTTTAAAAGTCTAGTCCACACAAAGATCTCCCTGAGTCTGTCTTTGATTGTCACGGGTCCAGGGTGTGTGCAAGCTGCCTTTGTCATTAGAGGACACCATGACACCTTCTCCAAACCAGGTCAGGGAACAGACTCAGCCATATCGAAGGCCGAGTGTCTGTGACTCATACTGAATCACTGGGAAGTTCTCCGTCTGTCTTTCTGAACAGATGGGCCAGATATGGGAGCCCAGACTCCAACCCAAGGCCCCTAGGACTCCACTCAATGCTCACTACCCAAACTGCTGCTGTGACCAGCAAATACTCCCCTGACTCAGACCCTTACTGAAAATGGGAGCTTTGGCCATGCAAGAGCCTCTGTGGCTTCTTATAAGAAAAGCTAAGAGGCACCAGAGAGATCTGGGGACACTGCCTCACAGACCCTTATCACCCTGCCACCTGTCATTCAGTCATTCCTAAACACTTGGGGCACCCTGTTCTAAACCCAAAATACTCATATAGGAAAGACACAAAATCTCTGTCTTTGTGTTATTCTCAGTATGAGGCAGGCAGTAAGCAGGATCTGCAAGTGTACTACAGAGCAGTGGGGTGGGCTTACTATTATCACTACTTCTATCATCTATCCTTCTATCATCTATCTGTTTGTCTATCTACTTATCCATCTATCTATCTATCTACCTATCTGTCTATTTATCCATCTGTCTATCATCTATCATCTGTCTATGCATATATGTAGGAGATGAGTGCACATGAGCCTGAGTGTGGGTGTGCATGTACCATTGCATACACGTGGAATCAGACAACAGCCAGTAAGAGTCATCAGTTCTCTCCTTCACCATGTGGGTCCCAGTGCCTGAACTCAGGGTATCAGTTTTGGCAGCAAGTCCCTTTACCTGAAAAGCCATCTCTCCAGCCCCTGGAGAACAGTTCTAAGGAGAAAAAAAAAATAGAGAAAGTGAGTGAGAAGCAATCACTGTGATGTTTTAAAGAGAGTAGCATGGCCACTGTAGGCCTCTCAGAAGCTATGGCATTTACATAAATGCCTGACAGAAGTAAGGAGCCAGCCTTTTGGTAACCAGCTAGAAAGATGCTCCAGGCAGAGGGGCAGAACTGGGACAAAGGTTCAGAGGTGGGAAATTGCAGCTTCAAGGAAAATCATGGGAGCCATTCTGGGCCCAGTTAGATGTGGGAAGGAAGGTGTTGTGAACAGTGGAGTCAGCTTAGAGGGAGCTTAGGAATTCATCAAAATAACCTTGGCTTTGAATCAAAGTAAGAAGGGAGCCATTACAGAGTCTAAGCAGAGGAAGGGCATGATCGTGTATGTGTGTGTGTGTGTGTGTGTGTGTGTGTGTGTGCTCAATTCAGAAGTTTTTAGTATATTGGCAGAGCTGTGCAACCACCAGCGGTCAACTTTTGAACATTGGTGTTCAAATCCTGTGCCTATTAGCAGCCATTTTCCAATTTACTTTCCATTCATAGACCTGACTAGTCCAGGCTGATTCTATTTTAAAGGGCCCATGGAACAAGAGTAGAAGGTTCTTTCCTCACCCACTTGGGCCAAAATGACCTCCATCATGTTTCTGGAACCTGCTATGCCAGTCCCACCTCAGGGCCTTCCATCCAGCTCTTTCCTATGTCTATGTTCCTTCTTCCTTTAGAGTCTATGCAAACATCAGCAGCCCCCAGGAGGCTTTCTTTTCAGACAGTGTATCAGTAGACAGATGTCTTAGTTAGGAGTTCCATTGCTGTGTTAAAACAACATGACTCCAAAAAACTTGAGGAGGAAAGGATTTATTTCATCCTACAGTTCCACAGAACTGGACATTACTAAGGGAAGGTAGAGTGGGAACTGGAGGCAGGAGCTGATGCAGAGGCCATGGGGGGGTGCTGCTTATTGACTTGCTCCTTTGTGTTTGCTCAGCTGCTTGCTTCCTTTTCTCTCTTTCTTTTTTCTTTTTCTTTTCTTTTCTTTTTTTTTTGAGACAAGGTTTCTCTGAGTAGCACTGGCTATCCTAGAGCTTGCTCTGTAGACCAGGCTGACCTCAAACTAAGAGATATGCCTGACTCTCCCCGAAGTGCTGAGACTAAAGGTGTGTGCCACCACCACTAAGCCCAGCCCACTTTCTATACTATCCAGGACCACCTGCCCAGAGATGGCACCACCACAGTGATCTGGGCCCTGACACATCTATTATCAATCAAGAAAGATTTCTTCCCGTATGACCTTAGCTCAGTGTCAAGTTGACATAAAAACTAGCCATCACAGGGGTGGGAGGAGGGGTAACCAGAGGTATTTGGCCTGGGCTGGTCACAGAGAGGGTGCAGCTGTTGATTTGTGGTTACATTTTGAAACTGGACTTCCTGAGAGACTGGCTATGGGGCTGAGAGAGTCAGGAACAACTATCCCCAGTGGTGGGAAAGTTAAGAGTGGACAGGCTTATGTAAAAAGCACAGGAGCAGAGCTTTGAGCCTGTAAAGTCTGGGACACCTGTCAGAGTTCTAAGTCAGGCCTTTGGGCAAGAAGTCAGGTGTGATGTACTGGAGAAAAGGTGACCTGGGAGTTAGTGGCAATTCATGTCATACTACAGATGGGGTAGCAACTTCCCAGTCTAGAAAGCAACCACTGCCCAGACCCAGGAGCCAAGCATTGAGCCCACCACTTGGGACCATGGGAATCCAGCCAGTGACAGGAGTTTACTACTAGCCAGTTCAAATTCCACAGGCACACTGTCCACTAGTGATGTTTGCTGTATCTATGTGACCTCGAGTGGGTAGAGGGCTGATGTACAGTGAACAAGACCCAGCAAGCCTATCCTAAAGACAGGAGACTTTACAGGAAGCCACTTGCTCTTGCCTGCTACCCATTCAGCACTGGTGACTAGGGTTCCAAGCGGCTGGAAGTGTAGAGAAGACAAGAGGATTCAAGTTCAAGTCCAGACTTTGGCTTCTCTCACATGCCTTGTGGCCCTAGGCAAGAATCATACCCTCTTGCAGATTCCACTTTTCTGTCTTGTAAAACGAGGCTTAGACTGCCCATCTGATGACCCTGTGAAATTGAAATGAACCATGGAGGCTCAGCCCAATGCCTGGCATATACTAGGACCTCAAGACAGACACCCTTGCTCCTCCCACATCCACTCCCGACAGCCCTGTTTGAACTATTTCAGTGGCTTCCTCTGCCCCTTCCCCCACCTCACTGCATCTTGCCTTTCTTGTCCTCTTCCTGGGCTCCCAGCCTCAGTAGCCTCCTTTCAGTCACTCAGGCAGGCTGACCACTCCAACTTGCAGACTTGCATGTTTGACTTCAATGCCACATTGTCTCAGATGACTCCCCAGCACCTTCTCTAGTCTCTGTCTCAGCCTCTGGTGGGCTTTGTCACAAAACTTGGCTTGCTTATCTTAAGTCCCACAAGAGCCTTGGGTACAGCCATCAGCACACATAGGGGCCTGAAAGGTTTCCCTCCCATCCAAGGAACGAACACACCCCATGGTGGTCCAGTAAGTACCAAGGATCACCAAGCATGAGAACTAAATGTTGACTAGCTCCCTCTACAGAAAATCTGAAGGTCAGCAACTAAGAAAAGTCCCAAGAAGGCCTGGTAAGAGCCTTTCATGGGTCTTTTGGAAGTCTCATTCTTGGTAAGATTTGAAGGTGCACCCAACTTTGGGGCCTGATAAATAGATAGACTTTTAAAATCAATAGTTCAATAGCTGGGGTGTAGCTCAGTTGATCAAGTGCCTGCCTGGCATGAGCAAGGCTCTGGACTTGATTTCTTGACCCATCCCTTGCTGGTCATATACATTCCCAACCAGACCATGGAGTGAGAAGCTTGGACCATTTTATTTCCAAGTAAACTTCTTGGAACCTTCTAGAAAACCACTAACAACAACAACAACAACAACAACAAGAAAAGGCAAAAATAGAACTGAGGCAGTTCCAAACCCAAAACAGAGAGAGAAACTTAGGAAAGCCATATTTTTCCTATTGCTTTTTAAAAGACAATGTAATCTACCTCCTAAAAATACTTTAAAGTAAGGCCTAACCACCTCAAGGCCACCACTGCTCCCTCCACAGCCAGTTGTTCCCAGCTGGTCATGGTGTTCCCAGCTCAGATTCCTAGGCATTCACATTCCTTCCAAGATAGGCCTCCAATAAGGCAACCTTTCCAGAGAGTTATGTTTGAAAGTAGAAATGTTAAAAAGAAAGGAGGAGAAAGAGGAAGGAAAAGGGTAGAAAGAGGAAGGGGAGGGCAGGAAAGAGGACGGGAAATGTTTAGAAGTGCCTGGTATTCCTGTACCAGGTCAGGCCCTGTTTGTATTCCTCTATGATTGCTGAATCTATCTACAGGTGCTCAGTTTGTATACAAAGTTTGTGTGTGTGTGTGTGTGTGTGTGTGTGTGTGTGTGTGTGTGTGTGTGT